TTTGAACTTAGAAGATGGTTAAACTCATTTACTATTTTGAGCTAAGCATAGAATGCAGTCATTGCTTAGTGGCAAAAAAGGCTTGGGGTGGAAGAAACAACACAGGGGGAAAATTAGGGGCGAGTTCTAAGCTGGAAAGATGGTGCTGGGCTATTAGCCCTTCTCCTGATAAAGTTGAACTTCAGGGAAAGCAGGCATCCCACAACCATACTGAAGAGGCTTAGAGACAATACATGTGCCCGGCCTTCCTGCAAATGTAGTGTTGGCTGTTTTTCATGCTGCACTGAATGTTCCTTTTTAATGAACACCCAGACTTCCCATCCTTCTATTTCCCTTTCCCCAAACCACCTGGATCAAGGCAGCTTAGCAGATGTTCAGATATCAGAATCAAATGGAACACGAACTGAGGTTTTATCCACAGCATGTTGAAAACATTCATTGTACTGGGAAAGGGAGGTGGGGTTTCTCAGTCCCTCAGCCTCACCTACTGCCCACAGACTCCTGCTTTTATTTGTAAGGAATATGAGAGAAAGAGAGAAAAAAAACCCACCCCACCCACATACCCACCCAGTAAGGCCCATCTGACGTGGCTGCAAGCAGGTGATGAGGCTGTGAGGACCCCTGGCTGTGTCCTCCAGGCTGAGTGGGTGAGCTGCTGTGGGGCGTAAGCATAGGGACCTATTCTAGGTCCAAGGGTGGGGAAGGACAGCCCCTGTCTGGTGGCTGTGGTCAATGAGTTGAGGTGTTACTAAAATGACATTGCAATGGAGTCATCATTCCAGGGAGTCAAATTTTAAAATCCTCTTTGATTTGAAAGCATCTCCAGAATTGGTTGAACCTCCTCGCTCTTCTGTAGGACTCCTGGTTCACCTACAGGGGACAGCAGGGACCAACCAGAATGTGAGTGTGTCCTGGTCCATCTTCTATTCCCAGCACCAGACTCTAAAACAGGGGGATGGGGAAAATATTATTATTGACGGAGTGCAGCTGAGAAAGGGGGAAATTCCCCCTTTCCTTTCCTCCTTTCCTCTACTCCTGACCCAAACATGCTACTCAGTGGCATAAAATACATTGTTGAACCTGTAAATGCAGGCCATGCAACTCAGGTGAAGGACACATAGATGGGATTTGGTTTCAGTAAAAGAGACCACAGCTGTGGTCACCCCCTGCAATCCTGGTTTTTGCATGGCAGCCACCTGGCCAACCCTCATGCTACACCCCATAGGACAGCTTTGTGTCTGGGGAATGAGTGAGCTGGGATGATCCTGTTTCCTTCATTCAAGGGTAATGTGTTATAGCCAGAGGAGAGCGCAGATTGCTTTGCTGAGCTCCAGGCTCTGCATTCTGGCAGCTGCATTATCCTGGGCTCCTCAGGGCAAGGCTTAAAGTGCTGTGCGATTGGGGCACTTTCTTTGTGTCTTTGGGTTCATATCCTTGATCCAGGATGCACGGTGAGAATTTTCAACTGGCAAAATTTGTACCTAAGAGTATCTGTGTTACACAAAATAGACATCTCTGGAGATGGAATTCAGCAGAGTCCAACCAGACCCAAGTCGAAATTAAGAACAAAGTGGATTTTATTATGATTCCAGGGAATTTAAATAAATTACTGAACTTAAAACAGTAGTGATCCCTCCTATATCCATTTGGGTATAAATTAATATTCTAGCTAAAAATCAACACTTTTTATAAAATACAATGTGCTTGTAGTTGTTTTTCACTTCTCTGATGATCAGTTAGCTTTTCCTTTGATTTTCAAGTCAAAACATTGCTGTGGCCTGTTCCACTTCTTCCCTTCTCTGGGGGACTCATAGCACTTGGTACTTAGTAACCATACAATGACAGCCTGGCAGGGTGGTCCCAGTTTGAGGCACAGAGAAGGGACAGGACTTATTTGTGAGAACCTACATCTATGGAAAACTGAGACTCCTTTGCATCCTCCTTTTTTGGACAAACCATTAACCTAATTGGCTCCTGCTGAGACAATGTACGTAAAAATATCCAATGTCAAATGTACGATTTTTTACAGGGTCTTTTGGGATGTGGGTGTTTTATTTCTTAATGTGTGTGATGTTTACATGAGTGTTTTTATGTTGTGATAATTTCGCAAGCAAGATAATAGACTTAGATGAAAAATGTAAAAGTATAAAACTTTTAGAAAAAAAACTCACAGGATAAAATCTTTAGGGTTTAAGAATAGTGTTAATTTTTATGTAAGGTTGGAGACTTAAGGTTCATCTTTGTTTACTAGCCCACAAATGTCCCATTGCTCCAACACCATTTGTTGAAATCGCTATCTTTCTTCCATTGAATTGCTTTAACACCTTTATGTGGTTCTATTTCTGCATTCTCCTGTTTGACCCATGCATCTATGTGTCTATTTCTCTGCCAATATCATTTGGTCTTAATTACTGTAATTATCTAAGTCTTAAAAAATGGTAGCTTGATTCCTCCTGCTTTATTCTTTTTCAAAATTGTTTTAGCTATTCCAATTCTTTTGCCTTTTCATATACATTTTAGGATTATCTTGCTTATATTTACAGGAAATCTTGCTGGGATTTTGATAGGAATAGCATTAAACTTATAGATCAATTTGTTAAGAAATGACATGTTACTATGCTGAATCTTCTAGTCTATGATTATTGTATGTCTCTCCACTTATATAGATCCACTTTGGTTTCTTTCATCAGTACTTTATTGCGTTCAGCAGATAAGGCCTAGTCCTATATATGTTTTGTTGGGCTTACATCTAAGTATTTCTTTTGAGTGTTTGTAAATGGTATTGCATATTTAGATTCATTGCCCACGTGTACATTATTGTTTTATGAAAATCTAATTAACTTTTATATATTGATCTTATATCTAATGACCTTTCTTAACTTACTTGGCAAATCTAGAAGTTTGTATAGATTTCTTGGAATTTTCTACATAGGCAAACATGTCATCTGCAAACAGGGACACAGTATTTCACCGGTTAAAGGATACTGTGTTGACAATTCTTATCTTTTACCACTTGAATGCATTTCTGGCCTCCACGGTTTCTAATGAAAATCTGCTGTCATTCAAATTGTTTTTCTCTCATAAATTGTCATTTCTCTCTCTCTGCTCTCAAGATTTAAGAAGAAAATCCTCAGTTTTCAGAAGTTTATGATGTACCTTGGAATAAATTTCTTTGGATTTATCCTGTTTCAGGTTATCTCAGATTCTTGAATTTGTTGGTTTCTGCCTTTTGCCAAATTTGGGGAGTTTGCAGCCATTTCTTCAAGTACTTTTTAGTACTGCCCTCTTTCTAGAACTGATGACACCTAAGTTAAATCTTTGGGTTTTTTTGGAGACAGAGTCTTACTCTGTTGCCTAGGCTAGAGTGCCGTGCCATCAGCCTAGCTCATAGCAACCTCAAACTCCTGTACTTGAGTGATCCTCCTGCCTCAGGCTCCTGAGTAGCTGAGACTACAGGTGCATACCACAACACCCCAGCTAACTTTTCTAATTTTAGCAGAAATGGGGTCTCGCTCTTGTTCAGATTGGTCTCGAACTCCTGAGCTCAAGTGATCCTCCTGCCTTGGCATCCCAGAGTGCTAGGATTATAGGCATGAGCCACCACGCCCAGCCCAAGTTAAATCTTTTTTTCTAAATAATCACTCAGGTCCTGAGCCTCTTTTCATTTTTTCCAGTCCATTTTTTATTATTGAGATTTACTAATTTCTATTGTTCTATCTTTCAGCTCACTGATTCTTCCCTCTGTCCCCTCCATTTTGCTGTTGAGACCATCCACCCACTGAATTTTTAATTTTAGTCATTGTATTTTTCAGTTCTAAAAATTTCCATCTGGGCCTCTTTTATGTCTCCATTTTCTTTGCTGAGACTGGTTTCTTCGTTGATTTTAAGCACATTCACAATTGCTCACTGAACCATTTTCATAAGGTTGCCTTAACATCTCTGTCAGATAACTCCAGCACCCCTGTCATCTTGGTGCTGGCATCTATTGATTGTCTCTTTTCATTCGGTTTGACATCTTGCTGGTTCTTAGTACGATGAGTGACTTTTGATTGAAACCTGAATGTTTTGGGTTATCATATCATGAGACTCTGGATCTTATTCAAACCTCTGTTTTAGCTGGCTTTCTCTAACACTGCTCTGGGAGAGAGAAGGGGCACATGACCTCATTACTGCCTCACAGCATACAGCCGTACAGATTCTCTACTCAGCCTGTGTTGGCACCCAAAGGGGTGGGGACTCCTTGCTATTTCTGGGTGGAAGTGGGAGTTTCAGTTACCAACTAGGCCCCCGCTGACACCTCCCTGGTGGCAAGGGTAGGACAGCCTCCCTACTGCTCCCCAAGTGGTCTCCACTGACACTGGCAGTGGCTTTGTTACTGCCATGTGGTGGGTCAGTCCTGACTCTCGCCAGGCCTCCTCTGGCAGCTCTCCATCTGGTAGAAGGTAGGCGGCCTCTCCACTGCCAGGTGGAGGTAGAGGTTGTAGCTGCCCTGTGGTCTCCACTGACACCATGGTGGTCACCTCACTATCGACCACTGAGGATGGAAGACTAAGCTCCCTATTCAGCCTTTAGAGCCATGAGTGGGGGAGGAGAACATAATTTTTTTTCTATGATGTTTGGCTGGAGTAGAGCAATTATTATCTGAAACCTTTCTGTCTTGCTGGGCTGCCCCTTTCCTGGTGTTTGGGTAGACAGGTGGGCTTTTGTTGGGATTTTTGTCTACATCTGTTGGTGTTTACAGGTTGCCAGCTTCTTCAGCTCCAGGGTGGGATATATGCAGCAAAAAGAAAACCCAAAAAATTTACCACTGTGTCATTCCTTTATTCTCAGATAGCATTTTTCTTCTCTTTACTTTTCAGAGTCTTGTAAGATTCGTTTTATATATAATGTCCAGGGTTTTCAGTTGTGCTTAGTAGGAGGAATAGGGAAAAACATGTCCATCTTCTCAGAAGTGACCTTGACTATGATTTTTGAGAAAAGAAAATGGTATCTGGTAGGATGCTTTCCGGAGAGCTTTCTGTGTTCATCTGGTCCTAGATCAGTGGTCTTCATGGAACTCCATTTTTTGAGTCTCTTTCACTTGAGCCATCCCCAATCCGCCTGTTCTCATGCTAAAGAGAATGCCTGCCAGTGTTTCATCTAGTGACAATACGGAACTTCATCTGGAGGATCCTTTACAATCTTTGCTGGCTTAAGAACCACACAATCTTTATTCCCATAAGTGCATGCAAGGAATTTCCTAAGGGAAGAGTTGTCCTAGGACAAAATGAGGAAATTAAATGTATTTGTATTCTTCAAAATGCAAAATAATTTTTATTAAAAATTATATTATTATGTTCACCCTATGTTTTAGGTGCCAAAAATTACCTTTTAAATAAAATAATGATTGTAGAAAGTACTTTTTTGGTTATTTTTACTTGAAAAAAAAAAAAAGGAAAAGTTGGCAATAACATGTTGGTTCCCCCCAAATTGCTTTTTTTCCCTTTATTTTGCTTTTAATTTTAAAAATTGAGGTCCATTTTACAAACATTGAAGTGTGCAAATCTTAATGGTACAGTTCAGTGAGTTCTGACAAATGGTAAACTGAGCAATGCATACCTCAGTCACGTTAAAGAAAGCGCCCATCACCTAGGAAATGTCCCTCACCACTTTTCCATCAGCCCTTCGCCCTGGCCCCCAAGTTTCTGGCATTGTCACAAGAGCTCATGTGCCTGCTCCAAGGCTTCATAGTAATGGAAAAACATATAGAAGTGTTCAGCATGTTTGTGAGATGTCCATTCTTTTTTTTTTTTTTTGCTAGGTAGTATTTCCTTATATAGATCCAACCCCTCCCCCTCCCAAATACTCATCTCTCTAGGACTTTGCTGGGTCAGAGTCTCCAGGAACTGGCCTTGTTACCTCCAGCTGACCTCAGCTGCATCATTCCGCAGGTATTAAGGTGCAGTGTCTTATTACTCACCTGCAGGAAGAAAAAACAACCGAGGACTTAATACTTCTTTTTTCTTGCATCAACACAGTTTGATTGTGGTGAAAAAAATTTGTTTATTCTCCTGTTGATGGACATTTAGAGTGTTCATGGACTGGTGTTATTATGAGTAAGATTATCAGGAATATTTTTGTGGAAGATGTTCTATTATATAGAATTTAGAAACATTTCAATCATTACAACTTCAAGTATTTTATGTCTCATTCTTTCTGACTGCAGAGATTTCAAACTGCATGTATGTTAGTTAGTTTGGCAATATAATCCCACAGAACACTGATGTTCTGTTGTTTTTTTTTTTTTCTTTTTCTCTACTTGGAATAATTTCTACTGATCTGTCTTGAAGACTACTGATCTGTGTTCTTCAATGCTTATTCTGCTGTTAAACCCATCAGTGAATTTTTGTCTCAAATATTCCATTTTTCAGTTCTAGTATAGAATTTTTCTTTCATTTTCTTATAGGAGTTACATTCATCTCATGAAATATACCATATTAATCCATTATATCCATTTTTCCTTGTAAATTCTTGGACGCATTTATAATATGTTTAAATGTTTTAAAATATTTGCTAATTTGAATAACGTCATTTCTAAGCCTGCTTTTAGTGGTTGTGCTTTCTCTAGATTTGGGGTCACATTTTCCTGCTTTTCTGTAGGTCTTATATAATTTTTTTATTGTACTCCTGACATTATCTGTAACAGACTTTATTTTCTTTTGCTTATTTCCTTTTCTTTTGTCTGATGATTAGGGTGAGGGGTTGATTATTAAGATTCCTCTTGGAGTCAAGTTAAGCAGTGGCTGCTTTAATTAAACTGAGATCACTGTGCTTAGTTGACCCCCACCCAAACCCACACTGCCTTTTTGATCCTGTCAGCGGTTGAGCTGCAGGAATGCTGTAGTCTCAGATATCTTGATTCACCTTTGAGTTCAACTCCAGTGCAGCCCCAGATGTAGGTACCCTAAGGATGCACGGCACCATGCATCCTTCCTCTGCTTTCCAGTCCCCGTGAACTGCTGCTTTTCATAGCAAAATTCTGGGTTAGGGGTTGAGGATCCTTAGGCCAAATGTTTGCTTTTTTTGTGCTCAGTGTTTTTCCCAATCCCAGTCCCTTTGGCCATTTTTCTTACCTCTTCAGAGTCTCTCCATCTCTGGCAGGCCCACTCTTCCATCTACCTGCACCCATAATAGGCATCTGCCCCCATGTGTGGAAGCTCCCGTGGCCTTTTGCTTACCTATTAAGAGCTCATTTCTCTCTGAAATCACTTCATTAATGCTTACTTAAGTATAGTGCTTTTCGGGAGCCCCATCAAACATTTGATTTTTACTTTGCCCAGGTTCTTCTGCTCATTACCACGGGAGCACAGTTCTCTTGAATCCTTTCAATTTTAGATAGAAGTAGGATCCCTCCCCAATTGCTTTTGAAATCATTTGTGTCCATAAAGTTAAAAACTCCAATGCCATAGAATTACTCCATAACCTTGGAATCTATTGTATATTTAGTTCCGGCAGTTTGTGGCGCTTCTGCCTCTTGAAGAAAATTTTTGACTGAAAATTATTCCTTTTTGGGTAGGTTCACATTTGTGTTTGTGCTCATAAAGCTAAACTATCAGTTGATTAAAAAGCCATATTCTTTTTTATGAAAAGGTGTGAAGCTAATAGTGAAGCTTTATTATAACCACCTAATTGAATATTCTTTCTCGTTTCATGTAAATGTCTTTGTCTGTAGAAAATGCTACCAAGAGCGGCATTGTGGTTACTTTAATTCCATTGCCAAAACTTTTATATGGTTTCCTGTATTCTAAAGGGAAAGCTATATGCACTTGTCTTCTTTTTAAACTTTTCCTCTTATGAATCAGTAGCAGTATGAATAAATGTCAGATGTTCTTATTAAGTGGTTAAAGTGGATGCCTCTGCCTCGGCGTTCTTGTTTTAGGTGGTGATGATTAAGCAGACTTTGTCATAAAAATGCCAGAGTTATAAAGATATTGTCTTTACTACTAACTAGAGAACTCACTATATTAATAACAATAATATTTATATATACTCAGCCTGTGCCAAACTCACTTCATCCTTTCATGTTAGAGACAAGGAAGGTATTATGGCGTAGAAGCAGCAATGCCAGGGTTCAAAGCCACACTCCTCTACTGAGGTGGGCATTTTCAGTAATAATTAGCAAATAGCCCAATCGTGTACTCTATGAAAAAAATAACTGCAATAGGAAGAACATTTTGAAGGTAAATTTGTTCTTAAAACTCTCTAGTTAGGCCAGATGAAAGTAATTTTGTTGTTTTTCTTTGGTAAGGAAGGCAGCTTCTCCATTCTAACATTTCAGATTATGCTAAATATTTTCTTATCAGCTGAAGAACTAATCAACATAAAATATAATAATTGATTCAGAGAAACTATTAAGCTGGAGTCCTGATTATTTACTAGCACCACAGTTTAGTTTCATGCTAATGAAGGTTGGCCATAGAGAAAACCACAAGAACGTATGTATCCTTGGGACCAGGAGACCCCAGCAAGTTAAGGCCTGACCCTACCTTGAGGAGCTGGCCCAAGGTCAGTCAAAACAGAATGTCCCTTTTCCAGTGGTTGTCATGTAAAGCCAGATAGAATCACTACATGAGGTTTGAGATTATGCCACAAGTGAGTGTTTCAGGTTTGTTTTTCTTTACTTTGACCATTAGTCAGGCATTAGGGGCTAGGATGGCAAATGAGCCATCACAGAACTACCACTCTGGCCCTTTAGGGAATGTAGGTCTAAAGGGAAAGCAATTCTTCAGGAGAGGTGAGCAAGGGGGCGATAAGTCAGATCAAGGCCTCTGTGTGTTGAGTGAATCTGGAAGTCTGCAAGAAGTGGGAATAGCTGCAGGCAAATTACTCGATTATGGCAATTTTCGCTGGTCATATTTGGCAGTCTGCATGTCGCTCTTTTGAAGGGATCTGAATTGTGTTTGATGACATAAGGTGGTGGCCTGGAGGAGCAGGGAGGGCCTGTCAACCAAGTGCAGAAGAGTCCTCCCAACTTCTTGAAGGAGAATCTGCAGAGCAAGTGGCCCTCCCTCCACAGGAAGAGAATCCATTGTGTTTTGAATGCCCTTGTATCAGAATCTTGTTGGGATGGCTGCATTTTCTGGAGAATTGAAGACTTGTCCTTCTGCAGCATCAAGCTGGCCCTTTGCATCATGGGGGCTGGCTCTGAAGCCAGTGTCTTTGGCAGCATCATAGAGGCCCTTGGGCCCCATTACTGCCATGGTCCTCTTGGGTAATCTGAGCTGGGGCAGCTGGGCAGACCCAAGTTCTCCAGACTGGGCACATTGGGCACATGTATAATACCGATTCCAACTTAGGGAGAGCATCGAGGGTCACATGTCTGCTCCAGTGATGGAGGCATTTCCTCAGTGCAACACCCCAGATCCTCTGGTGACTGGGAACAGTGAAGCACTGGAGAAAAGATGGAGGCATAATGGGTAGACAGAGCTGTGGGAGCAGAAGGCTCTGGATTAAAACCCTAGTTGTGCTAGTTATGAGGTATGTGACTTGGAGCAAGGAGCTAAATTATTTAAGCCTTAGTTTCCTCATCTGTAAAATGGGGTCAGTAAGGGTATTGAAACAGACAGTGAACAAAAAGACCTCCTTTGTAATCTGACACACGATAGTGTGCAGCAAATGCCAGTCCAAGGTAGCATGGAGTGGAGTACAGAAGATCTTAGTTTGGTATGTAAAGTGCCATCTGTTGCTGCATGACATTGTTATAGACATGTTGGAGTTGCAGCAGGCAGCCTAGTCAAGGGCAGCCAAGTGGCTCCCTTCTATACCTTGTTACCTTTACCTACACAGCCATCTGGGACGGAACGTGGAGATCACAGACACTGCATGGCAGAGCTAGATCCTTTGGATGCTTGGCAAAGGCTGGAATATCAATCTAAGAATTGTTGATCAGGGACTGGGGTTGGACAACACAAGCATGAAATAACATGGGGGAGGTTAAAGATAGGCAAAGGTGGCCAGAGGCCCCTGCCAAAATGCTGGTTATGTGTCACAGAAGATGCCATAATGCTGGTTATGTGTCACCATTTATCACAAAGGTGATAAATGGATAAATGACAGCTACAAGTAATACAGAAACCTCATTTTGCCAATCTATCACATTTTTCGATTAAATGTTGCTTAGTTGTTTTAAGGTTCCTCTTCTTTTAAAGTTCCTGGCTCAATATCTAGTTAATCTTAACTCGTTAGCTAAAAAAAACCCCAAAACATGAAATTATATTAATAGCCCACCAATATCTAACAATCCTTTAGAAGGAGAGTTGGCTGCATAGAGATTCCTTTTGAAAACAAGGTGTAATTGATACCTTATAGCAAGTTTATTTGTTTGCTTAGTAGGGTTAAAAGTTTCCATTACTATGCTTTAACCAGCAATAGTGATTGATACTGAATTTTGTGCGTAGGCAGCCTTTATAGTTCTTTGGCTAATCTTACCTGGGACTACTCCAGTGGCTGCAACCATCTGAGTTCAAAAGGACTGGGAGGTCCAAGATGGCTTCTCACATCCGGCAGTGTGTGCTGGCTGGTGGCCACGGCACCCTGGTCCTTCTCCATATGGTCTTTCATCCTCCAGCAGGCTAGACTGGGCTTCTGCATAGCAAGTAGTCTCAGGGTGACAGAAGACTGAGAATGGGGCTTGCAAAGTTTCTTAAGGCCTAAGCTCTAGAATTTACCCAGTGACAGTTTCTACATTTTATTTGCAAAGCAAGTTACAAGTCAGCTCAGATTTATGGGATGGAGAAATAGACTCTGCCACAGTGCCCAAGCAAGAAAGGGGATAATTGAGAGACAGTTCAAGTTGGGGTAAAGGATTTGATACAGAGAACAGCATGGGGTCATCTGGTGCTGGAAACAGAGGTGGGATATAAGAGAAGAGGCAGAAAAACCCCTGCACAGAGTCCTAGGAATGGCTGGGGTGTCACTGCAAATGTACTGGGCACTTTACACCTTGAGAATCTGTTCTCAAAATTAACACCATGCTGTGTTGGAAAAATTGAGTTTGCTTAGAAGGCTGCAAAGCTTAGTCATTGCCCACCCTAGGCCATCCTACTCTTCCTACTGGAAAAAGGAAAATGCAGGGAGAGTTAAAAAGAGGACAAAAAGAAATTGAGTACTGCAACTAGGTGGAGGTAAGAAGCCCAGCTGATACTATAAATTTCCCTGCCCCCCCCCCAATACACATATTAATATAGCCACACACAATATCTCTTGAGGGCTGAATGGACTTCTGCTTTCTTTAGATATTCTCTAATCTCACTCACTGGCTATTCCAATGGATCTTATATACTTATTGTTTGTAGAGCAATAGTGCTCATGTTTAGGTCTGCCCTTTTAACATTTTTTTACAAGGACATATAACTTGTTTATGTTCTTTTATTTTTAAAGAACACTTCTTCATTTGTGTTTTTCAAAAGCTGGTGAATGTTCTTTGTAAAGATGTGGGTAGGCTTGGGGTACTTTGGCACAAGTAGGTCACAAAGTGGCAGCGCACGGGGAACCCTCAAATTTGTGCCATTTTTATGTTTACAGAATGGATGTATATGTTTGATAATAAAACTAAACATTAATAATACTTTGCTTAGCCCTAAATAAAAATACTCCCTGGTAATACAAATACTATAACTATATAATAATCAGTGGCACATTAGCTTCTCAAGTTTACTTTGTATTAAGGAGATTACATTTTTTAAAAGTCATTAAAACTCCTCAACAGCCTTATGATGTAGGTGACTTGTGCTGGCAGTGTGCACCACTAAACCCCTAAAGCCCAGCATTGTACCTAACACAAGGTAGGACTGCACTACATACTTTTTGAGCAAAAGGATAACAACTACTGTCATCCTTTATCCTGACAGGCAGAAACAGAGGTGGGCGAGTACCTGAAAACAGAGTCAAACAGTCATTGTAACAAGAATGATGCCTGATCCTTCCCTCTAAACATCAATCGTTTTTGGGTTCCTGTTGCAGTCTATGAAGAATGGAGAAAGCTAGAAGGAGTATTTTTGACAGTCTCAGAACTTTAGATTTAGAGTGTCATTGGAGGAGACACTCCCTGAACACTTACAGTAAAGAAAACCTCTTTTTCACCAGCCACTGGGTTTCTTTTTATTTTTTAAAAAAATGTTTTTATTATATTGAATAGAAATCTGCCTCCTGTAATTTCTACCTCTGGCCCATAATTCTGTATTTGGCAGTAGGCAGATCAAACCCATACTCTCTTCTACACAACACTCATTCAAATCGTTGGATTTCCCCCCACTGGCGAATATATGACAAAAGTTGGTTGAGTTTCATAATGCAAACTCAAAGGGGAAATTATCTTGAATAATTATACGGCAATATGTGGAAAGTTTAGGGGCTGTATACACAACTTATGGTTTTGAACTGTGTGGTTAAAGACATTGAGAGTTGACAGATTAATCAGGGATTTGTCAAGTATTAGTTACAAACATTGAAATCTTGGCCAGTGAAAGTTCATTTTAGTGTATCTTGCAAATATGATCAAAGTCTTTTCAGTACTGATTTGATGATGCTTAACCACAGTGTGTGAAGAATGAAGCGTTTCATTAGAAATTACTGATGCTATAGAGAACAAGCTGTATTTTTGGACTATTAATTACATTTAATGCTCTTTCCCCACTCTATCTCTACCCCCTACTCCTCCCACCCCATTTTTGGGACCCCTTCATCTCTGAACACCTGAAATGGCATTTTGGACTGCTGCAAAGAAAACTGTGGTCTTAACATCAGTGCACCTCAGTGATGACCATCACATGAGGGCAAAGGTGGAGCTGATATAAGTGATGTTTTTAAAACCATAAAAATAAACCATGAAAGCCTGGGGGTTTTCTGTGATTTGGGGAGCAAAAGAAAATTGTAACTGGCTGAAAACTGAAAGAACGGAGGAGTACAGTGTGTAGCAGTTTAGGGGAAAGGAAAACAAGCAGTCCCTCTGCCCTTGTTTAGTTTTAGAAAAACAATCTATTATTCTGGTACTTTTCTTTTTTCTGTGAATTAAAAAAAATTCACTAGCACCTAAACCATGGAGAATGAAATAAAAATACACCCAGTCCAGCTTCTCCAAAACACTGGCCTGCATCTTCCCCTCCCTTCTGCTGTGAATGTCTTATCCATGCCTTCCGACGGATGCCAGAGCAACTGAGGGTATCTGCGGGGGTTCCTTGGTGTTTGTATTAACAGATTTTCTGCAGCAGCCAGGTGGAAGGTGAGGAATCCTAGCCTTGATCCGCCCGTCCCACCATGCCAGGTTTCAAGAACCCTGGGCTTTGGCCTGCCAGGAATCTGAAGGGGCTAGTCTGGGGAGACTAGAGCAGGTCTCCACTGGTTCACCTGTTCTGAGACTCTTTCTCTTCAGTTGCCTCTGAGCACCAGAGGGTGGCACCCCAGGCACTCCAGAGGTGGAGAGGAGGGGACGCGAGGGGAAGAAAAGCGGTGGGGCGGAGAGAGGAGGGAAGGAGAGGAGAGGGGAACATTAATAAATTCTCAGACTTTGGGCTCGAGTTCCCACCCTTTTATGGAAAAAGCCTGAGTTTCCACCGGACTAGGTGTCAAGAGTCAGCAATTTCTAAGATAGAAAAGGCTACCGAGGGTTATTCTTGACCAATGGCTTCTACCCTCCTGGGTCTCCTGGAATCCGAAGGGAAACTAGTTTCCGTGGCCGCTGGGTGTGCAGGTGCCTGGGGTGGGCGGAAAGCCTCTGGCACCAGATCGCTGTGAGTGCGCCAACATCTGACCTGTCCCCTTGTGTCGTGTTTTGCAGTTGCTGGATTTGTGCGACTCGGTGAAAGATGATGCCCTGAGGGTGATCTCCGCCTTTAACATTCCACACACCAACCTCCACGCACCAATCGCCGGAATCCCCAACCCGCGGGCCGCCTGGGCCTTCTACCCTGCGCCACTGCAGCCGCTGGCCCGGGACGGGGCGCGCTCTCAGAGGCCGGAGCTGGCAGCCAAGCTGTAACGGGTGTGGCGGCGGGAAGTGCAGTGGCCCGCGCGCAGCTGCCACGACGCTCGCCTCGCTGATGCCGGAGCTGAGGGCGGGCTGGCACGCGCTGGGCCGCCGCCCTCGGGGATTTTGGTCACGGAGCAGAGGTCCCGCCGAGGCTGGAGAGGCGCGCGGCAGACTCTTGGGAAAGCGAGCCGTGCGGGCGCCCTGTGTGGGGCCCCCTTTAGCCTATCCCTGTAACCTCACCTGGCCTGGCGCAACCTTTCCTAGCTTCGGGGCACCCGATCCCCCCAGACAATCAGGGTGGGCTCCCGCCCAACCGCGCGAGCTTGCCCCACAGCCGGGTACCGCCAAAGGTCTCCTGCGGTCAGCGATGACTCAGATCCCCCTGGTGCCCCCCCCCGCCCCCTGTGATTTCGAAAAACTGTGGTGCTGGGTGAAAAAAAAATCACTCTCAGACAAAAGAAAAAAGCTCCATTCTTTCTGAGCGCGGGCAAAAAGGTTCATTTCAGCAAATGGCGCTTTTCCAGTTAATCAGACCCTCTAGTCTCCTCTCCTCCCTCCCCCCGAGGAAATGCATGGACGGGGAGAGGGGAGTGGGAGCTTGGAGTTTTGCTCTCGACAAGCAAGAACTAGGGCTTGTCCTCCCAGACCGGCGGTTTCCGGGCCGCAAGACAACGCGCGGGAAAACATTTTACCATATAAAGCGGTAATCTGTCCTTTAGAAGAGCAATGACACAAAGTTTAATAAGCTAAGCGACGTGGAAGGCGCTCCCGCTGCTTGCAGAGGACGGAGAGGCGGGCTGGGGCAATACACGGCAGTGAGTCGGTTTCGGAACTAGAAGAGACCACATAGGCGATGCCTGTCGGCCAAGGCAAGGGCCATGGATCTCCCATTTCCCAGGTCCCTGTAGCCCGATTTCTTTCTTCTTTCTCTCAGTTCTTCTCCTTCCCTCCACATCTCTTGGCAGAGGTAGGAAAGGGCAGCGCTCTGCCCGCGTCCGCGAGGGCGGCGTCCAGGACCGGTGGCCTAACGCCCGCGGGCCTTCCCTCGCCGCCCTTGACCCACGCTCGGCCCTGTTCCGGGAGGACCTCCCGACGCCGCGGGAGAAGGCCGCAAGCGCTCGCGCTCTCCCGACGCAGGACGCCAGGTCGAAGCTCCTTAGCACACCCTGCGTCGCGGCGGACGCACGAACCACTGCCTTCGCACCGGATTCCCTTTTACGCCCCAAATCCGAGCGCTTAGCCAGCTGCTTTCCCCGACGCCTTTGTTTTTCAAAGAGTTTACAGGGTCCCGAGAGCGAGAGACGCGGGGGCGGCGGGGCTGCACAGGAACAAACAACAGGGCTTTCTTCTGCCTGCGTGGTCCGTTTCCGGTCCCCGTCTGCGTCGCCAGACCCCGCGGAGAGCGTGGAGCACTCCGCCGTGCGGTGGGTTTGGGGCTCTCGGCCAGCGCAGCAGGTCGCCTTGCTTTTCCCGCGTGAGATGCGGGGCAGCCAAGGCGCAGTTCGCTCGCGGCTGCCACCGAAGGTCTCGAGCAGGAGCTCCGAGCCGCGCTCAGGCCAGACCTTCGGCGTCCGAGTTCACTTCGCCGCGGCAAGGCCCGCGCCCTTTCCCTCTTGCAGCGAAATCACCGGGCGGGGCTCGGCGCGCGTCCTCCAGCCCCGGGAACCTTTACCTCGCACGGGACTCACCCCAGAATGCTCTGAGGAGACTTTGACCTGGGGCTGTGCTGTGTCACGCTGACGCTATAGGTCTGCTTATGAACCTAAAGACTGGCCAAGGTGGCCCGACGACGGGACCACGTCTCCTCGCTTGCTCCTCTACGCCGAGGCCCCTTCCTTCTCCCTGCCGGCATGGGTGCGGGTCAGGGCGGTCTCTAAATTGCTTTTCCTTAATCCATCTCGCCTGACTCCCCTGCAGGATGTCCCATTTCCCCACCCCAACCTCCTACACCCCTGCCGCGGTGGTGCCAAAGCCCGGGGCTGGAGCACAGAGGCGCCCGGGGAGTGGGCAGGAGGGGCGGGTCGGGGTGCGGGCTCGGAGGAGCCCCGGAGCGGGCGCGGAGAAGCGTAGGGGAAGAGGGATGGAGACGCGAGGGCTGCAGGGACGGCAGGTATCGCGCCCCCGACACGGCAGCCTGCACTCCGCTGCTCCGCCATCACTAGCCTCAGCTCTCTGGGGACGGTTCCCGGGCGGTTCTTTGGGAGCCCAGCAAATCTCGAGGTTCGCAACCGGGCGTAGGCACAACCTTGTCTCTCACCTAGAGGCTGTGACTCTCCTTGGTGTCTTTTTTTTCCCCCAAAGAATTTATTTTTTGAGTTCTTTTTTCATTTCCATATTTTACCTGCTCTACACACACCCGCATCCCGCCCCTCACCGGGTCGCTCCTTGCCCTTTTCTCGACTCCTCCTCCCCCCACGGGCTTCGTCTCTTAGGCAGACCGAGCGCTACAGAAAAAATGGAGAGCCTCTGAGGGGTGGCAGGAAGAGGGTGCCTAAAAGTCTGGCGCCACGGACCCTCGGAGGGAGGAGAGCTCAAAGACCCTGCACCCGCGCTTTCTCGAGGGCCAACCCCGTCCCCGCGCCTGCCCTGGAGCGGCTGAGAAACTGTCCGCGCGCAGCCAGGGCGCGGGGCGCCTCGGAGGCTTTCCTCCGCGGCCGCGGTCGGCGGGATTGGAGTGTGTTCCGAGCGCCCCCTCTGTTGTGCGCTCATGCGGCGGCCGCCGCCGGGTTGGGCGAGGCGAGGGTACACTCGGAGTGGGGGATGGGCGGGCGCACAGCCGCCGGCAGGCCGAGTCACTCGCCGAGTAAACAAGCCAGGGACTGGGGCGCGCGCGGCGGGAAAGCCTGCGAGGACACCCGCGCCTTTACCTGTCCGAGCCTGCACGCGCCCGCAGCCGCGGCGCCGCGGGGGCGGGGCTTACCAGCCCGCGCGCCGGGGCGGGACCTAGCGGGGGCGGGGCCCGCGGTGATTGGGCGCGGGTGCGGGGCCGCCAGCCTGAACTGGGCTCCAGGGCCGCGCAGGTTTCACTTCGTTCCGCGCAGCCTCGGGGATTCGAGCTTGAGCTAGCGCTGCGTCCAGCGCCACTGCCGCCAGATTCTTGCAGCCACCTTGCGAACCCTGCCACACTGCAGTCAGCACCGTCTCGGGCTGTTCGGTTCACCCCGCTCCCGCCGCCGCCCCCTCGGCGCCCTTCCCCTGGCCCTCGTCCCCCCAATGTCTGACTCTGACTCTCGGACTGAGAAACGCAAGGTAAATACCTCCGAATCCCGGGGAGCGGGCGGGGACGGATGGAAGACAGGCGCCGGAGCCCGAACGGCTCCACCTACTGCCCGCTTCCCGCGCACGTGCGAGAGGAGACGCTGGTACTGGTCCCGCTTGTCGCCTGGCGGGAGGTGGCGATCAGTGTGGGCCGGGTTGCCTCCCGGGCAGGTCCACTTTGTGGAAGGGTTGTTGGCGCAGAAGCTGTGGGCACTTGGCCGAAGTGCGGCTTGGGCCGGTGAAGGGTCGCAGGCCGGGATGGAAGAGGTGGCGCGTGCTCTCGGCACCGGCCCGGGAGTTGGGGGCCGCTCGGCAGTACGGGGCTCAGCGCCCAGCCGGGAAGTCGGGCCGCCTGCCCCAGCGACCCCGAGTAGCGGCCGCGCGGTGCTAGCGGGTTTCATGTCTTGGCTCTTGGGCGCGCGGGCTTGTTGCAGAGGGTTTGCGGAACTGCGGCAGTGGTTTAACTCACGAGACTGAGCTTTTCATTTTACTCTTTTAGGCCGAGGTTTCGGGGCCGCTGCTGCATTCGCCCTCTTAGATGTGCCTGGGGGCCCTTCTTGGTCTGCGGGCGTCCTGCGGACCGTGCCAGCTGCACAGTCCACAGGCAGCAAGAGACCTAGGTCCTCCCCTGACCACCGGGGCCATGCAGGGGACTAGCTGCGGCCAGAACTTGCACAGTTTGTGGGGCCAGGCTGACTTAGTGGCTATAGCGTGCCCAAGAGCACCCGGCCCCATTTGCCATACAGCCTGGCAGCGCCGCGCCCTGTGGGGCCTGTTATCCCAAGGTTGGCGCTGCTGGGGGGTGGACGCCTACACTGGGGGTGTGGATTTGCTTGGTGCCCGCCGTGGTCGCGAATGTGAACGTCCTTGGCCGGCGGTGGCTGCTCAGATTTGGCGCGTGTCTGCAGTGCACGGGAAGAAAGGGGGAGGAAGTTGTTGGAGAAGGATAAGCAAGCCTGGGCGGGGACGGCTGTTGGGGTATCAGCCCGACCGGCCAGAGGGAGGACCTCCCTGCCGGTGCATACAGAGTGCAGGTCTTGCCTTGTCTCCAGGTGACTGGCTGCCCGGGGTGGCCGGAGCTGCTGAGGTGTGCGCGGTGTCCCGACAGAGCCCAGGGACAGGGCGGGGTAGCGGGGCAGCCCGGCCCCCAACGCTTCTGCCTCCGCCGCCGCCGCCGCCTGTGCGGCCGGAGAAGCGCTCGGAGGCGAGTTTGTCAACAATCGCCTCGCCTTTGGCGGCCTGACCCGTAGGCGCCGCCCCCGCCACGGCTGCCGATTGGCCCCTTGGCTAGGGAGAGACCGCGCGCGAGCCAATTGGGAGCGCGGGCACCCGGCGCCAGTGGCGCGGGGAGGTCGGCGGTGCCGGCGGCGGCGGGCGCAGAGCGCGAGGGGAGGAGCGGGAGGAGGCGGAGGATGTTCCCGGCGGCGGCGGCCGGGGCGGCGCGGGCCAGAAGCGCGGCGCGCGGAGTCCTTGGGTGCCCGGCGGCGGAGCGCGGCTGGCGGGCGTTAAGGCGCGTGCTCTGCGCTGCCCCGGGGACTCTGAACCCCAGTCCTGGGCTTTGTCTCCCGCACTGCCTTCTTGGGGACGCTCGGGGGGCGCCCGGTCGGCGAAGGGCGCGGGCCGGACGCCGCGGGACCCGGGCCTGGACTGTACGCTCGGAAGGGAAGGGGCGGACTGTGAGTTTCGGCGTGATTGCCTTCTGAGGGGAGGGTCTTTGGGGTGAAGGAGGCGCGCGCCGGTGTCGCCTACCGTGCAGAACTAGTTGTGGACTTTGCAGGGGGTGCCAGGGCACGGCCTCTGGGGTCCCTTATTTGGAGTTGTTCACCTTACAGTACAGCTGCACCTCGGAGAAGTTCTGTCCGGTTCGGTGCGGCGCGAGAGCCGAGAGCAGGAGGGACCGCGGGTGCAGAGCGCCAGAGCCAGGCTGAGCCGAGTCTGAGTTACAAACTCTATTGTGACGCACTTACTACGACTGACGGCCGCTGCCAAACCTTCCCCAGACTTGCTGCCCTCAGCATTTTCAGCAAACAATGGGGCCAGAGCGGGGAACGCGGCCAGCCGCCTGCAATCGCTGCATCTGCACCCGCTCCTGTGCTCTAGTGCGGTATCTGATCCTGGGAAATCAGAGCCCGCTGGGAGTTTTTGACTTATTCCAGTCAGTCCTGAGCAAAGAGCAAGCTTGCGTGTGTCTGTGTGTGTGTTTGTGTGTGTGTGTAAGTAAAAGCACCAGTTCCACAAGCAGTTGACATTGTTACCGTGTTTTGTTTGGTGGTATGAAGTTTAGTTCCATCCCCCTCCCCCACCAAAAAAGATAATCATACGTTTGTTATTTTAGGTGCATTTTTATTCTTATTTGGGTGAGTGTCAGAGAAGTATACACAATGTAGCAACTTAATTTTAAAGTATTTGAGATTAACTCTTAAGAATTTTTAATGAATAGGTGAAAGGTAGCAAATTTATTTATTCTTTGTAATTACTATTTTGACTAAGATAATAGTTTTGTTTTTTTTTTTTACTTGCAGAAAAAAAGACCAAATGGCAAAGCAACCTTCTGATGTAGGTTCTGAGTGTGACCAAGAAGGTGGACAGTTGCAACCTGTGGAGAGACCGCCCCAGCTCAGGCCTGGGGCCCCTACCTCCCTACAGACAGAGCCCCAAGGTAATCCCGAAGGCAGTCGGGAAGGCGAAGGGGACCGCTGCCCCCACGGCAGCCCTCAGGGCCCGCTGGCCCCACCGGCCAGCCCTGGCCCTTTTGCTACCAGATCCCCGCTTTTCATCTTTGTGAGAAGATCCTCCCTGCTGTCTCGATCCTCCAGTGGGTATTTCTCTTTTGACACAGACAGGAGCCCAGCACCCATGAGTTGTGACAAATCAACACAAACCCCAAGTCCTCCTTGCCAGGCCTTCAACCATTATCTCAGTGCAATGGGTAAGCAATACCCCGGTAAGAGGCAGTTGGCATGTGGTTGTTTGAATATTTAAAAATATTTTGAATGTTTAAAAACTGTGTAGTATTTAAAGCCCCCTTTTTAGTGTCTCTTAACTGATTTGTTCCATTTTTTTGATGGGAATGGAGGATGTGTCAAATATATCAAATTAGCATTTTTTGTAAATGTTATTAAATTTTGTGGCAGCGATGAGTAGAGGTCCAAACATTAGCCTTTGGGGAGGTACAGCTTGAATCTCAGCTGCCTTCACTAAGCTACAGCATAATAACCATGGTGTGTTGTTTTAATCACTAGCCTTTCCATATTAATGTCATTTTGCTTAAAAGGAATCTGGTCAGTTACAGAATATAGCTTAATAACAGTACCAAAATTGTGAAGAAAGATTAGACAACTTAATTATTTCCAAAACTGACAAAAATTTTTGATAAATGGACTAGTTCATGTCAACAATACTAACATAGAACCATGAAAATGGTTTGTGTTCTACTCAAATTCCTCTTTGGGCTTGTTGCTTAGAGGGTTTGGACATAATGCTCATGAGATTAGGTTGTAGATTTTTATTTTAGGAATTAAAGACAGTTGCAGGTTCTGAATCAAGAGTGGCAAACATTAAGTACCCAGAGAGGCCTGTAGTAATACAGTGAGGGATCTGACCTGGTGGAGGTTGTAGCAAGTTGGAGAGCATTTGCACCTTCTGCATTAGCGCTGCCCCTAATTGTAGTTGTGAGGACACGTGGTCTCAGAGTGGCAGGTTTTCTTGTATTGCAAGATAATCCAGGAATGCAGACTTTGATGCCAAATATCCTATTTGAACATTGATAATTAATGTAGATCTTTGAAAACATTGTACAAACCAAACAAACATCTGCAGGCTTGATTTGACACCTGAGCCTCCCACACATGACTTTTTGTATAATTCTGTTAGTGCTAGTCTGTGTTGCTTCAACTTGCTATTCCCTGCTGATGGAAAAGGTTCATGTCTTGATCAGTATTCACCACAATCACTCTAATCATTTGTCCAGACTAGCCTGCTCTACATAAATGAGATAAGTACGTTGGTAGTGTTATTGATTAGGAAATCCAGTATAGACTATTAAAATTTAGGTCGCACTTATCATGCCAAAGGCTAAAAGTCAGCAGATTAGACAGTTGAATTCTGGAACACACTGACAGATCTTGCATTTGTAAGTACCATAAAGCTATGTCTTTGTAATCCTCAGTGAGGTAAATGAGGCAGGCCTGTCACGCGTTACAGAATTGGGTGTCAGAGGGGTGATCACTTGTCAGAAGTTGGGCACACCTGGAAAATGGCAGGGGAAATGGCAAAAATACCAACAGCTACATGTGTTGGCTGCATGCCTCCTGCTGAATGCTGGGGGATACTTTATTATGGCCCTTCCTTAAGGAAAGGAGCTAGAAGTCTTCTTACTGCTACTACTGTTGCTCCTTAGCTCATTTCAGCCTTGGAAGTTCTTGGTGCTTGTAACTATTCTTCTATCTGTGAAAATGTTCCAGTATATGTATGAACCTATAGCATTGTTGCTTATACTAAATAAGTAACAGGGTTTATGGTATGTATGCTTAAAAACCTGGATATTTTAAGGACCCTCTAGAAGCTATTACAGTTTTTCATTGCAGACCTATACACATCAGGTGGTGGCTTACTGAATGGTGGAAGTAGCTTCTCCTTTTCTGGTAACTAGGAATAGTCAGTGAGTTAGTGTATTCTTTACTGTAAACAGGCACAAATGCTTTTCTTGGTGACAGATACTGTTTAACAAGATAATTATAAGGTATGCACCGTTACTTGAGATGACAGCTTTAAAGATCACAATCTAAATTATTAAGCAAAGTTAATGGTTATACCTATGAAGTAAAATAATGGATCCTGATGTGTAATTTTATAGTATTAACTACATTTCAGTAGATTGGTGTGATAACTTAGAGTTTAATGCATGGGATTAAATGAGAAATTGTAAGGGCTTTGTTTGAAGTTAGTGTACCAAGGTAAATTTTCAGTGTTCTTGGGAGATTTGTTTTGGTAGAGGACAAGTTGGGGTCAGGGGAGGGGAGAATTACTGGTGGAAGGAAAGGGCTTAGCCAGATGTGAGTTTATTAAATTGAAGCATAAAATTTACAATTTTTGTAGTCTGTAACTAACTTTTTTCTCTGCCATTCTCAGAGTCTTAGCTCAGTGCCTGAAGTCCTCTGAAATATGCTGAATTGATAAGTGGTTCTCTTATCTTTTTTAGCCTTTTTTAGTTTTCCTTACTCAACCGTATCCATTAAGATCTTCAATGAAGCTTTTGAATAATGTATTGCAAAATACATTTTTCACAAAGAAGTCTTTATGATTGGTTTGAACCAGTGGAACACAAATATGAGGGTTATAAAGAGGTTCTCCTTAGCTAGGGGCTCCTTCAGCCACAAAATAGTTTTCTTCTCAGCAACTTGGGGTAGAGAACAGTGTGTCTTGAAGTTTTATTCTTGCATCTTTGTTCTGATGAGAAAGTAAAGTCTTATGTGGGATGCACAGCAATTAGGTGTTTATACTAGAAATGTCTTCATGTTTTCTCTCATGTCTCTAATTTTTTCTGAAGACATGTTCAAAGAATGTTATATTTATCTGGGGATAGATACAGTTTTTACACTTTTCCTCAATGTTAGTCTCCTTACACTCTTGGAGGATTAACTTAACAAGTGATTTCTTTGTCTGTGAATAACTGATTCTTCTAATCAAAATTACCCACATGTGTTGGTTTACCAAGTCCCTTTTTGGGTGAGTGTTTTTATGCCATATTTGTTTATAATGCAAATTATATATTAAATCTTGTACAAATACTCTAAAGTGTAGTCAGTACAATTGGAAATCCGTGTTGAGAATGTTAAGGATATGGATGTACTCTTGTTATTAATAACTCCCTCATGCCATGTTTGTAAATGTTTTAAACTTTGTACTTGTTCCCTGCCACAAGTAAATTGCTTTCTTCTTTGTGCCCCTCAGAGTCTTGTGGGTACTTCCCTTGTAGCTGGTAATTGTCCGATCTCTCCTTTAGAGGAAGAGGTATGAACTCCTACACATCCTAGTGAGTGCCTGACAAAGAGGAAGAGCCCAGGAAATGTTGAAAGTCAGTCCAGCTCCTTCCCTACTAGGAAAGTCAATCCTAGTAGCCTTTTGAAGGAGCAGTTTTTAACTGAGGACAGATAAGGCAGGTAGCAAGTAAAGACCCTGTCTCCTGTCCCGCTCTTAATTGCCTGGGTCCAGCTGTAAGCTTGTCACATAGGGGTGGCAAGTAAGGTCTGTCTCAGCACTGCCCAGTGAGGAAGCCACATGTGTGTTAAGCCCTTGACATGAGACCAGTCCAAATTGAGATGTGCTATCAGTGTCAGCTCATGCTGGATTTTGAGGACTGAGTACACAAAAAGACATCTCAATCATTTTCATATGGATTGCATGTTGAAATGATGTTTTACACATATGGGTTAAATAAAAATATACATTTTTTATTGTAGTTAAAAAACCATAAAACCATCTTCACCATTTATTTCTCAGTTTGCGGTTCACCTAGAATTAAGTACATTCCAATTATTGTACAGCCAATCTCTAGAACTTTTTCATCTTCCAAAACTGAAACTCTGTGCCCACTAAACAACTCCCCTTTTGCTCCTTCCTCCAGCCCCTGACAGCCACTATTCTACTTTCTGTCTCTGAGTTTGACTACTTCAGTACCTTGTATAAGTAGAATCAGACACAATTTGTCTTCTGCTGACTGGCTTATTTCACTTGGCATAATGTCCTCAAGGTTCATTTCATCTTGTAGCATGTCAGAATTTCCTTCCTTTTTGAGGCTGAACAGTGTTCCAATATATGCATGATATATACCACATC